TTTGTTGATAAGACCATTAAAAAAGACTTTTTAACCTAATTTTAGAGTCTGTAATTTATCCAAAGTCGTGGAATATTAGTATTATTTCACACATCTATAAAAAGGGTGATTCACACGACCCAGGAAACTACCGGGGACTAGCTGTATCAAGTTGTGTGGTAAAAACACTCTGTACTATAATACCCAATACCTTGAAACAAATAACATAATTAACAATAAAGGTCACCGCACAACAGACCACATTTTTGTACTGAAAACAATTGTTAAAAAATATCTCCAGCTAAATGGAAAATTATATGCATGCTTTATAGACTTCCAAAAAGCCTTCGATAGTGTCTGGCGTAATGGGTTGTTTTATAAATTACTCAAAAATGAAATAAATGGCAACATCTATAATATTATTAAAAATATGTATTGTAATACAAAAGCATGCATTCGTTTAGAAAACACAATTACATATATATTTGAGACAACAAAAGGTGTGAGACAAGGCTGTGTTATAAGCCCCACACTATTTAATTTATATGTTAATGATATGAGTAAATACTTGGAAGACAGATCCCTTGATCAGGTCACACTACATAACACTAAAATTAACTAGCTACTTTACGCCGATGATCTGGTGCTAATTTCAATAGCAGAAAATGGCCTACAAAATGCATTAAATAAACTGCAAGAGTATTGCCAAAAATGGAAAATAAAGTAAATCTTGCGAAAACTAAAATTCTAGTATTCAAAAGGGGAACACTACAAAGAAATGAACAATTCTATTATCAAAATGAAAAACTTTGCTGTGTCAACTCATATAATTATCTTGGAATAATCTTTCAGTCAAATTGACAACCTAGCAGATAAAGCAATCAAAGCCATGTATGCACTAAAGCAGTCTTTACCAAAAGAAACAGACTGTAAAACGTACATCCATTTGTTTAATATATGTATCAAACCAATTTTACTGTATGGATCTGAAATTTGGGGAATGGAAAATATGAGTAACAATAACTGGGACAAAACTAAAACAGAAAAAGTGCATCTAAAATTCATTAAACAACTACTTGGGCTTAATAAATACACAGCGAATAGTGCATGTCGGGGTGAAATTGGAGCATTTCCATTGATAACTGAAGTTCTGGTCCCATGTCACAGACAAGTCACAAAATAATTATACAAAGATAGCGTTAAGCGATCAGACTTTGTCAAAAGCACAATA